GTTAAACTCCTCGGCTTTCCATTCACGTTCCTTGAGGGATGCTTCAACGTTCACCTTCCTTGATCTATCGACCATTGTACAGAATTGTTCGAATTTCTGCAAGGACGAGATAAAGCAAAGAGAACAAGTGCCTTAGACAMGAACATAAAACACACATTACAGGCAAATGACACGCACATTATATGCATATTATAAGCAAAACGCATAGAAGTGGGACGCTAATCGCACGTACAGTATACGAATATCGCACGCACATATCATAAACAGATCACACACACATACCACGCTCGTCGCACGCACATTACATCAGTAACGCGCGTATATAGCTCACCACCCACACATTACACGGATTTAGCAAGCACATCAGAATCACATAGCACGCTTATCGCATGCACTTCACAAATATATCACAAGYAGATCACACGCATATAGCACGCTCATCACACGCAAACCACACACATCGTAAACAGATCACRCGCATATAGCACGCTTAYCACCCGCACATTACTTACTTACGTTACTTTATTTACCTGGGCATAATTCAAGACGTTTTCAGAGTCTTTYCTAACAAACTCAACAATTTGTACAACATTGTTCTGATAGTCAGGGTCTTCACCGAACAGTAAATCAGTATCAGGCCATGGTATCTTACTGGCCTTTTCCTCCTCTTCCATATCACGTGACAAGGCAAACACCACGTCGCTCTTGGGAGGACTGSTAAAGACTGATAGTTCTTTGTCTCGCACCAGGCTTTGGAATGCTCCCACCGTGCGTTCAAAGCATTGGATCACACCAAGTACACCGTTTTCAATTTCCTGCAGAACAAAAAATTACAGCTTTTTTTAGAATAAAATAGAAATGGTACCGGTACTTACCGCATGACGACTAGTGCAGTTTTCGTATGACTGTGAAAAGTTCACAGCACGAACATGGTCGTGACACGGCAAGGGATACGCCAGACCAATCACATTGCACGAGAATTACTCTCCATCCACTCAAATGCCGGGAACACGGCATAAACACGGCGCGGACACGGTCACGCCAAGGTCACGGCAATGCCAGACCAATCACATTGCTCGTGAAAAAAATCAGCCAATAAAATTCTAGAAAGCATCACGGTCACGGCACGTCACGCTTACGGCACTGAGCTTTTCACAGTCATACGAAAACTGCTCCATGACTTGTTTTACTATTATCATTTTAAGACGCCGCTCTAGGCGGTAAAACACTGTGACCCATACGAGTCTTCTTTTCTACCCTAAGATAAGTTTACGAAACGTTATCTCCTGGGCGCCKCCATGACCTTTGTGGGGGGTCGGCCGATGACTAGCGCTGCGACCACGCGATCAATATCTAATCGTGATTTACGAATTAATATCGACTCCAGGTTCAACACATCGTAACAACACATATTGATGATGAACAGGTGGTGAACATCGCTTTCGATTTTTAGAGGGAGGGACCTCGAGGCGCTTATCTGGTAGGTCCTTTGCTCAAAGCGTAAGGTTTCAGACCGATCTTAGGAGAAATTGGCTTAAAGTGTATGGGTGGGGTGGGGGGGGGGTAGTCTCCTCACTACCTGACTTATACTTACCTCTTGAGTAGGACTCATAGTAGTATATGACTTAGAGTGTTGTGATACTGATGAGCGATGTGATCTGGTCGTGACGGTGCTTCCTTGTTCTGTACTCGTGCTAACAGCATCATCATCAGTAGTATCACCATCACCAGGGACGTCTTGGAATGACACTGTCTTCTTTATAGTGTCTGAAAAGAAGAAGAGCTGCTATTATTAATTTTCCAAATCACAATACGTCATTTCATTAAGTTTTTCTTCACCAGTTAAAATTATTTATTTTTGTCTTCTTAACCTCAAGTTTTCCATTCGCGTTGGTTAATTTTGAGAAGATTTTCCAGTGTCTTTAACTGACATTGATTTCACCTTCAACCCTCTTCCCCCTCTTCCTGCCTCAAGCACGCCTCCAAGCGCGAGAAAATTTTTAGAAAATTGCGCAAACGTTATAGCAACATTATTATACGACATACTCAATTTCCGATGTATTACGACCATTTTTCGAGTTCAATTACAGAGCGATAGTACACGGTCTGTGAACCGGTTTAAAACGAGTTTTTTTGCTGATGTCAGYGCGAGGAAATTTTCTCCTTTTAGTTCCTTTGTGCGGGTCACGTCAATGGTTTGAGCTCGTGACTTTCAAGTTTGCTTGTTTACAATAAAAATTTTTGTTTTTCAGGCACTCTTTCTCAGTTTTTTCGTGTCGTACAATAAATTAATTATTACAGCCGGATAAATTTTACTCGTGAAGCCTACGGGGCTTGAAAAAATGCGGTCGCTTTGACTCTTAAAATCATCCGGGCATAATACTCAACTACCAGTGTAATAACCTCTATATATAGTAATCACTTTATTTACCTTTTGGTAAGGTAACCGTATCAAACGGCACATTCAATACGAGTGCAACTCGAAGCAGAGCTTGAGCCTTCAAGTCATCCGGCTCGAGACTGTCCAGGATGATATCTGTCTTCTTTAACAACAATTCTCTTTGTTCCTATCAATGAAAAAGTATCATGA